CAAGTATCACAGCAACCGTAAACATCCCACACACTCAGTATGCTTTAGAGTCGCAATCACAAACCATGTACTTGTAGCAAATATTGAAGTCTTTTGAACGACCCCACAAGTCCCTGGCTATGTCCACTTCCATATTCCCACTACTTCCATCAAAGTTATTTGAGCAGCTCTTCTTGTGTTCCTCATACCATTTCTGATACTCGTCAGAATATTTTTTAGATTTGAAACCATAATCAAGCACCCTCCTCTGTGTCTACTGAAAGAGCAAAACCAAAACCATAGTTTGCTGTATGTCCTCGCTTTGACCAAGTTCTAGCGAAGGTTACAGGAATATATTAATGACAGTGTCATCCGTAATGCCAGGCTTATTCTTCATTAGTACATGACAAACCCTTTCTCTGGTGGATTGAAAGTGGTTTTCAACAGATGTTTTATGGGCATCATTCCAAAGCTTGGTTGAGGCATGTTCAAAGTGTCACATTGCCAGTCCTTCCCTGCCAATCCCAGTCTCAGATGCAGCATAGAAAAGGCTTTCGATTTATATCCATAGCATCCTTGGGTTGCCATGACATTCCACTTGATTTTGAGGTTTGCAAAAATGTCTTTTTGTTATTTTATTAAAGGACAATGGCAATAAATTTTTTTATTCCTGATATTGGTAAAACTGGACCCCCTGATTACGAATATGCTATTAGTTTTCATCAAAAATGTTTTGTTCTCGAGTTATTTCACCGTAAATATTCAGTACGTCCGCCATCTTGGATCGATTTTCAAAAAATTATCTTTTGGATCACATGACCTGTGTGACGTCAAGAGCAGGGTAGAATCAAAACAACAAATATATTTTATTAGGCGCATATTGCGACTTCGTACTTCTAGTGAGAAATTTGGCGCTTTTTGATTACTCGGATGGAAAATATCCACGATATCAAGTAGATAAGGTATTGCCTTATCAATTTGAACCTAAACTGGGCTTACAAACAAGCGATAGCGGTGACGAGAGCGACTCCGAAGAACAGAGTGAATCGTCTGACGAGGAAATCACCTTGTGTTTGAGGTCGAAAATGCTTGGCGCATTTCGCATTGAAGCCAAAGGATATTGAATTGTTTTGTTGCCACGATAAAGCGTTAGAATACGATGAATAAGATGTATGATTGAAGGAGGCTGAAACACAAGTGGAGAAAGTGCTTGACTACCTTTACAACACTGTGTCACTGTCAACACATGCAGAATTCAAAGCGAACATGCTGTCGGAAGGGCTATTAAATAGACGTTTGTCGCTATTTTGAAAATTTTAAACTGGCCTCTGGATGACAAAGATTTGGACAAGATACACAAAATTTATAGACTACTAGCTTACCAACGATGTTCGCGTTGGGTATTTCAGATTTTGGGGAATAAGAACAGAAGGCCATTTCCTGCGTCAGGCTGCGTGTGTTTACACAATAATAGACAATTCCCATTATAGAGTAATTTTAAAACTAGGCAAGGAGATGCAAATAAATCACCAAAGCTAGAAAGAGAATACTAAAATGAGTAAAATGGCAGAGTTTACTTGCGAAATGTTGTAAAATGCGGAACATATAGCCTTGCAAAGTTCGCAAATTTTGTATACTTTTGTATTGCGTTCGGAAATTACGGTGGCCCACAGGTGCCACGGCACGAACAAAAACTCCACGGCACGAACAAAAACTCCACGGCACGAACAAAAACTCCACGGCACGAACAAAAACTCCACGGCACAAACAAAAACTCCACGGCACGAACAAAAAC